TAGGGGTAAACTATGATTTACACTTAGCTGGTGTGAAGCTATTTTAGAGGTGATCCCTGGCATGTCCTCTTGACGGAAGGCAAAGTTGCTTTTATATGAAATGATTAGTACTTAAAAGTGTATTTTTATCAAGGTTTTATATCATCATTTTGCACTTGAAGTATCAATAACTCCTTAACTAGAGCATGTTTTATAATAACAAATCTGATAATACAAGATACCTTTATATATGGTAAATGTTTATTTTAAATGCAAGCCTATCACAAAAATCAAAGCATTGATTGAAGAGTTTAACTATTGAAATTGAGAAGACAAAACGAGGGCTAAGCTTAGAAAAGATATGTTGGCTTAGTCCAAACTGGAAAACCATTTGGTTATTGGATCATAGCTGGAGCTGTGGAACTTGGATTTAGGTTTGGTCTATATGAGAGTCCAATATTTGAAAAGGTTGTTTTCAAGTTCAAATTATAGCTACAACAGAGAAGTCAGAATCTATCCTACAACCAATACACTATTTAGTGTTTGACACAACCAAAAGATTGATGCCTTCTCCAAAATATAGAAGTGTCGAAATAATAAATAACCCAGCAAGACCGGGGTCGAACTACACGGAGTTTAATTGTATAAATTATAAATAACAATAATACAACAACAATAATAACAATAATAGTAATGATTGTGCATCAAAAGTGTCATTAAGTCTCTTATTTTACATATGTATTTATTGTTTTTATTTGGTTGTTTTTATAATAATTGATGTGTTTTTTAGTAATGAAGTTTCTTTTAATGTTTCGATAGGTTTTTGGAGCTTAAATGAATTAATTCAGAAAATTCAACGTCGGAATTCAGAACAAAGAATTGAAGAGACATTTAGTTGAAGATTGAAGCAAATATTGGTTCAAATAAGTGCTCCAAATTTGTCCCAAAAATCAATTCTATTCCAATTCTAGAAAAGAATATCATATGATTTATTTCAAGCCCAAACTTGCCTTATGTTGTGTGCAAACTTCAACCATTAAACACTCAAGGTTTCAATGTCAATCTTAGCCCAAATAATAAGTACATTTGTATACTTATTTGATGCTCAAATTCAGCCCAAAAATCAGCCCCAAATCAGCCCTAAATCAACCCCAAATCAACCCAAACACAATCCATGATCTTACATGTCCACACAACAAATAACAATTGATTTATTTTGGGCAATCCATTGATCCAAGAAGGCAAGCACATGGATGGAAAGCTGAAGGGGATATTTTAACATTATTTTGGGTCAAAAAGAAGAAGGAGACACCTCATAAATGAGGAAGAAAAACGTGCACCAAAGTAGTTGTAAAGCTGTCTTGATTTGATTTTTCAGAACACCTTTCGGTGTTTTGCCCATAACTTTTGACTCAGGTGTCCAAATGAGCTGTTCTTTAATGATCTGGAAAGGTGACAGAATTGCCTATAAATATGTCTCTAATAGACTTCTCCAAAAAAAGCTTCTAAGAGGGTCGAATTGCTGTCCAAAGTTAGAGTCAGATTTGTGTCCGAATTTTTTCTGAAATTGTATTGTGTTCTTCTTTATAGATTTCGGTTCTTTAGTTTGTAAAACTTATTTTTTCAGTTGGATTCAAGTTCTTTCATGTTTATTGAAGTGTTCTTATATATAATCATGGTTGGCTAAACTCTTTCTTGGATCCAAATCAAGGATAATGGTGATTGAGGTGAGTTCTTTAGGATATGAATGAATCTTAATGTTTATCTTCTTATTTTCTTCATGAATGATTTATTATTGTAAAGAAATTTTAGAAATCATTTAGGTAATGTTATAATCTTGAATTTTTATGCACAAACTTTAGTTTTGGTATAGAGATTGCTTGATTCAATGTCTTACTTAATATGAAAGTACTTGTTCATTCTTAAGCAATAATCAATCTTCATCTTTCTAATCTTCATTGTAATATCTTCCGATCTAATATCACCATCGTTGATATTAGGTTGAGTTATCTTATATATGTTGAAGAAATCACCAATACATCACCATTAAAATTGATTTGGACCAAGACTTACTTTTTCTTGTCATTTAAAATCTATTTACACTTTTTCATCTTTGAAAACAAATCTATCAATTATTTTCAACCAAGTTATTGTTAGTTTAATTTCTCTTGAGTTTTTTTTTTTGTTACTTAGCTTAATTTCCAGATCTAGCTCTCTGTGGATATGACCTCGATCTTACCGAGTTAATTGCTACATCGCACACTCGTGCACTTGCGAGTTAAAACAAGCCGATCATAAAAAGCGGTCAAGCAGAATTCAAGAAGATGTTCGCTGGCTAATTAAAGTAAAGGTCTGATTATCAGGTGAGTTCTCCAATTCTTTCATTTCATACATGCCTAGAATAGGTAAAAGCACTTTTGCAAAGAAACATCATGCAAAACAACTAAAAATCTATCACAGATGTGTCAGATGGACTTGTAATGCAAAATATTATTTTTTAGGAATGGTATATGTAAATCGTGAAGATAAAATAGAGTTCATTAAGGATGGCCTAAGTAAGGAGTCTTTAAATAATCTTCTATTGACTCTTGAGACGCACCCTAGTGGAGATGTGTATCGTGGAATTCATGATTTATGGTCACAATTTCATAAAGAACATGCTTGACATATTCTTAAGAATTCGACTGAAAAAGACTCTGTTTGCTAGTTTTTAAGAAAACTAGATCGGAAGCTTATCCCCAACCTATAAAGGGCATTTAAGTCGTTCTTGGATGTAAAACCAAGGGAAGATAAGAGTCACAATCACAACTACCTGTACATACACATGTTAACAACTTATACATATACATGTTTTCAAAAAAAATAAAAATAATAAAAAAGAGAGAGACTCTAGTTAGCCTATGTATAGGTGGTATGATTGCATTTTCAATTTCTCATCTATAAAATCTTCTCTTCCTTCCTTTAATTTCTACTCAACCCACACATTCCACAAATATCAAAGTATGTAGAAATGACAAGTTCCTTAACTAATCAAATATGAAATATTTGCGTTTTTTGTGAATCCAATCCTAGGAAAGAAAAGAAGTTTTTAGAATTAGCAAATCATCTTGGTCAGGTATTAGCTACGAGAAATATTCATTTAGTGTATGGAGGAGACAACCTTCAGTTAATGAGGGGTGTGTCCATAGCTATATTTATAAGAGGTAATCAAGTTTTGAGGGTTATCCCCAAAGCTTTAACAAATAGGGACATCATTGAAAAAATAATTAGAGAGGAACTACAAGTCTCCAGAGTGTCTGATCGAATGAATGCAATATTTAAACCAAGGTTGTCAATTCTATTCTGTTTCGCCCGAAATGGCTGAAACATTCCATACCAATTCAAAAAACAGAACAAAACGGAACAACTTTTATCTCATTTTAAATCTCGGCTTGTTCTGGATTTTTCAGCTAAATTCCACCTGGAACGTTCCGGTTTCATTCCACATGTTCCGTTCCACTCTTAAAAAGTCAAGTTCAATTTGATTAATTAAACCACCCAAGTATAAAAAGCTCATTTTCATTACTATTTTCAATAACAATAATATTAATAATAATATTAAAAATTATTATTACTATTTTCATTAACAATGATATTAATTTTTTAAAATTAGATTTATCACTAATATATATGGTTTATATTCATGTTGTTTTTTTCATGTTTATACTTTATAGGAATTTGAGCAAAACATGTTTATACTTTATAGGAATTTGAGCAAAACATGTTTATACTTTATAGGAATTTGAGCAAAACATGTTTATACTTTATAGGAATTTGAGCAAAACAAGGGATGCTTTAGATTTCATTAACCTTGATAATATTGACCTAACTTTATATTTAAAATATTTATGTTAAAACATTTTACTTTCATAATATTTTGATATTTTGTTGAAGTTGAATTATTTTAAGGTAAAGATCTATTTAATCTTGACTATTTAGAAATATTTTAAATTTTGAAATTATATTTGTTTGGTATTGTATTTGTATTGCATAATTTATAATTAATTTATCTTGAATTTGAATTATGTTTGTTGAATATATATATATATATATATATATATATATATATGAACAGTACATCCCCGAAACGGCACACTGAAACGCTTCAAAACTGAAATATTCCATTCCAATTGAAAAAACAAAACACCTACCGAAACGGAATTGACAACCTTGATTTAAACACCTTGATGCCTTCATTACCTTACCAGGTGGTCTAGATACATTGGAAGAGATCTTTCATATTTCCTCTTAGGCATAACTTCACATTCACCATAAACCCATAGGTCTGTTAAATGTTAATGATTTTTATGATAAGTTGTTGTCTTTTCTTGATCATGCTGTGGAATAGGAATTCCTAACATCTTTCGTATGACAAATCATAATCTCTGCTGCTATTACTGAACAATTGATTAACCAACTACAATAATATTTTGTTTTATTATTTTTTATATTTGTTTAAGTGTGTTTCAGGTTTCTTAGTAATCACTATTTTAGATGATGTCTTCTATACTCTATCTTTCTATCTTAAAACATTAAGGAGAATGTCTCACTTTGGTTAGAGGGAGAGGGTAGTAGTTGATATTAAAAAAAGTAAAAAATAACTATGTTTTTTATTTCATAAACCATTTGCAAAACTGTTGTTACTAAGATGACACAATAAGGAAGAATTTTATTGACTCTTGAGACGTATATTGGTAAATATGTTTTAATGGTTATTTGCAATATTCATAACAAGGTCTATCAAAATACTTCTTGAGGTATTTAGGTTTACAAACTCTCACATTGTTATCACTTAATTCTGCTTAAACGCTTATTTAACAACTATTCTTAGACCTTCATTTTCACACACACACTTTAACATATGATTGTGGGTTGCACATTGAATTATTGCATTATTTATCTTCTTTTATTAAAGGTAACAACTAAGGGAAAGGGATAGTATATAAATTGCCAAAAAAAAAACAAAAAAAATAATGATAATAAAAATATAGATAAATTTGGTTTTGTAGTCTCTTTAACCTAAGCAATTAGCCCAAAGGGGTGTACTAACATCTCATACCCTAAAGTCAACTAACTTGGGAGCTATTTGCCCAATGCTTGTTACATGAGTTGAGGAGAAAAAGCTTAAAGGAATCAAATATTGCACTATCTATGTAGAAGTATTTGTAACCCCAGTTACTAAGCTTGTAGAGGTGTCTCAACACCTAATGCTCTAAGACTAATAGTATAGAAGTCATTAGTTGAAAGCTCTTTACATAGGTTAAAGATGCATTATGTTTTGAAGTTATATGTATATTAATACAAAATAAAAAAAAGAGAAAAATATAATAATCCTAACCTAAGGAAGTTAACCTTAAACATTAGAAAAAACATTTTTTTTCTTCCAAGTAAAGCCCTATAACTATGTGTTGATATATTAAGCACAAAAGAAAGGTTTATTAATATCTTGTTTAAGATGTAGAGCATATATATAAGTTTAATGAGAGTTTGTTCATTTGGATAATGATTAGTACTTAAAAGTGCATTTTTTATCAAGGTTTTATGTCATCATTTTGCACTTGAAGTATCAATAACTCCTTAACTAAAGCATGTTTTATAATAATATATCTAATAATATAAGATACATTTAATTTG